ACAATAATATCAAAAGCACTGAGAATTATTTGGAGTTTTGATATCTTTGAATGATAAGAGTGTTTTTAATGTTCAAATACATATGAGTGCATGTGTGTGCACCCACCCAGTCACACAATATATATATAAAAATGTTTTTTTTTTTTCATGCTGCTCAGCATTTTGACGGCCATTTTTCACAATCCCACAGGATCACTATATCAGGTCAGTGTTTGTCAAATTTATCCACTTTTACCTTAGAGTTTAAATTTCCTGGCATTTACCATTTTCTTTTCCTTGCTGGGTTTTTTTTTTTTTTAAGATTACCAGCTGTCTATAAGTTTTCAGATTGTTTTTCTTCCTATAGCATGCCCAAAATATCTTGAGTGCAGAGTGGCAAGCATTGCTTAGGAAATCAATATCACCTCTGGATATTTTCTCCAGGGAAGGTGAGTGCATTAGGAAATAAACGGGCAGACAGATTGGCTACTACTGCACCACTTGGTGGTGGATTGATGCATGACAAGCTAGATGTGGTCAAGGCTTATTGAGAGTGAGTGAACAGTGTGAAAGAACAGTTCATCACAGTCTGGATAGAATGTTGCAGCCGGGAATGACCAGAAAACTGGCCGACACTCAACACTTCTAGGAAAAGCAAGACAGACATTCAATCAAAATTCCAACTATGTGTAGCTGGGGAAAAGTTGACAGAAGAGCAAGACAGTAACCAACAATATGGACTATAGGCATTAATGATAATGTATTGTTCAGTGACACAGTATAATAACAACCAGTCCCATCCATCAAGTTGTAGGAAAGCTGAAGGCCAGCAACCATAGTGTAGGAAAGTTGAAGGTCAGAGAGAGACAGAGAGAGAGAAGGGGGGAGCCCAAGGACAGGGGCAGAGAGACCATGAAGCAGTTATGCCAGCCAGGTTTGTTGAGCCAAGAAGTGGAGATTGAGGATTGTGGCTTGTGATTGTAACCAGGCTACTGATGGCGGAGCAGTTTACGAAATAGAAAGAAAATAACAGACTGGTTAAGAGTAACTGAGATGTACCTTAAAGATAATACAGCATAAACTTTGTCAGAAGAAAGATACTTCTCCTGTGCCTTATAAAATACTTTATAAACATCCAATAACAGTCAATAACCCGTAAGAGTACAAAACAAGCGTTACAGCAACTCAAACTGAAGTGTTCACTATCACTGAGTTAAATGAAGTTATCGACGTATATGAATTGATGTTGTGTTTTATAATAAATAAAATTAATTTCACTTGATTTTTTTTTATCACTGGTTGTGCTGTTAAACACCACAGACATACTAAGACTATCTTATCACCTGTTTTGTTAGGCATGCTTATGCATGGGAGGGGTGGCAAGGAAAAACTAGAAAGTGTCACAAAGTGATGGACCGCCATATGGCACAAGTGAAGGATGACGACGATGATGACTGTATTCTAAGGCTGTTGCTAAGATTCCTCCATCAGTTTTAAAGTGTGTCATTATTGTATACATCAGACACTTAGCCTAACACCTGCTACACCAGATAAAACAAATAACATCTTAAATAACAGACATATTAATATGCTTAGAACATGCACTTTACAGTAAAAACAACTTCATACATCAAGTCATTCAATATTTTCCATTATTAGCACCAAAATTCTTTCAAATGCCAAACATCTGTTCAACACAGCTAAAAATCAAGATCGCATACATTACATTATACAATATTTCAAAACTGCACCAGACACTAACACAGTGTTCAACAAATAGAACAACATTTATGTCATTACTATGATGAATTATAATGTTGCTAATTCCATATGGTGTGCACGGTAGAATAAACTTTGAACAGAATCAATAATGGTCTATTGTTGGCAACGTAGGCATATTTCAACAGGTGCTTTACAGAAATGCTTATGTTGACTGCATGAAATACTCACCAGAACTGTCCGTGCTCTCCACCAAACTACAACAGGTTTCCATTCAGAGATGTGCCAGCTCTGAAGCTTGTAGCTGAGTTTGTTCCTCCCACAAGCAACAACAAACCTGCAGTTAATTCTTATCTGTGACTGTAAAGAACTCTTTGGGCCAACTTGAAATAGCATACATCACAGGCATGCTGAACATATCAGCTGGCATCAGATGACAATGCAGTGGATTGAACAGTCTTTGGATGGTTTCCATACTTCAAAAGTGGACAAAATGTGGTCAGATTTTGGTCAATGTTCATCCAGCAGGACAGCTGAAAACATTTTTTTATTACCTGTTAACAGAGCTAGTCTATAAAAGCCTTATTTGCCCAATACGTTTGAAGGTATCGAAAAGGGTTCTTTGACTGTCTAAACATGTGTTTTTTTTTTTTTTTTAACTTTTTGTTAACAGAGCTAAGGTCACAGCTCTTTAGGGACATACGTGTGAGCTCCTTCACTCCAAAAAAAAATCAAACATTCAGTTCACAGAACTTAGCTCTCAATATGAAAAAGCACTTAATATTTTCCAAGGTCTTTTCAAGGTCCCCCACATTGTGCATGTTTCATGCCCAAAGTGTCATCCATGTCCTGTGTCCACCTTTGTACTGCCCAATTCCTGCTACTTCTTCCAGAAACAATGTCTTTCATTACTGGTCTTTCTCCTTATTTAGCGTCTGCATAAACTTTCTCTGCATTTAACATATGTACAAACTTTCTCTTCATTTAGCTTTTGTATTGTCTTTCTGTCCTCAAAAATTAATATCCTGTTTTATTATCTAAGCTTGCAAGTATGTTTATACTCATAGGTAAATGAGCATTTATAAAATTACCCACATCTATATTTGCTTTAGTAAATGATTTAATCAATGTCGGGCACTGACTGGAGCATAAATTTAAACAGTTTAATAATTTTCAAGAGTTGAAAGGATAAAGTAATTCGTAAACTATCAAGAAACAAAAAGGCTGGATAAATTAATTCGTAAACTATCGAGAAACAAAAAGGCTGGAATACGATTAACAATCTCCCAAATAAAATCATCACGAATATGTATTATCAAGTGAAGAAAAGCTACAACTGTGTTAATTTCCAGTTCATGTTTTTTAAATGGTTAAAATAATTAAAAGATAATGGGTATATAATCTAACAATTGGTCTATCATCTGTATTCATGATAACAGTTTAGGAATGTTTGAATGTTATCTCATTTGTAATTTAAAACATTGTGTGTAACAACAATTAATTTACTTTCCAGCTCTTTCGGTGCCAATTTTACTTCAATTCGTTCTTTACAAACTGTTGTTATTATAAGCTAATAATCTTGCACTCAAAACAGTTCAAACAATAATCACAAAAGGAAATCAGCTAATTATTAAACTGAGTGGCATACATTACAGTAACAACTGATACTGAGTGGGTGAATGCAGCAGCTGGGAATACACGAGGTTGATTATAAATATGTCAGGATTAACTGGTAATGTGTAGGGAGTTACTTGGTAATAAATAAATTTATATATTAGGAGATAAATCTAAATGGTTTAGCATTTTCCAAATTCTCCTAAAATAACACAGTAATTATAATTTTAAAAATATGTTAATAATGTTACGGATCGGCATCAATGAAATACAACTGTTACAGTCAATGACAAGAACATTCAGCTGCCTATTTTCATGTTAGCCTACCTGATCTGAATGCAGACTGCAGTAAAATTAAGTAAAACTGAAGATAGTATAAGTGAGAGGAAAAAAACAGACTGAGAGGGAGAAGAATACAAAAAATTTCAATTAAAAGACCAGTAAAGATGGGTAAAACTAAAGAAAAGAATAAAGATAATAAAAAGTTAGTGGATCAGTAAAGATAAATAAAACTAAAGGGATTAGTGAAAATAAGTAAAACTAAAGAAAAGAAAAAAGTAAAATTAAATGAGTAAAGATAAGTAAAACTAAAGGGAACAGTAAAGATAAGTAAAACTAAAGGGACTAGTAAAGATAAGTAAAACTAAAGGGACTAGTAAAGATAAGTAAAACTAAAGGGACTAGTAAAGATAAGTAAAACTAAAGGGACTAGTAAAGATAAGTAAAACTAAAGGGACTAGTAAAAATAAGTAAAACTAAAGGGACTAGTAAAGATAAGTAAAACTAAAGGGACTAGTAAAGATAAGTAAAACTAAAGGGACTAGTAAAAATAAGTAAAACTAAAGGGACTAGTGAAGATAAGTAAAACTAAAGGGACTAGTAAAGATAAGTAAAACTAAAGGGAACAGTAAAGATAAGTAAAACTAAAGGGACTAGTAAAAATAAGTAAAACTAAAGGGACTAGTGAAGATAAGTAAAACTAAAGAAAAGAATAAAGTAAAATTAAAGGGATCAGTAAAGTTAAATAAAACTAAAGGAACCAGTAAAAATTAGCAAAAACTTAAAGGACCAATAAAAATATGTAAACTGAAAGTCATTTTCACAACTTGAGGTTTACTGGGCACATGGTACTATCCCCATTTTTGTATAGACCAATTGACACTTGACAAGTGGTGTTGACAACATTGTGAACATTTCCTGCACCCATTTTAAGTTAAGTCAACATGGGAGCATAGGTCAACTTTTATAACCCACCTCAAAGCAAATTTGGTCCTATGACCACCAGGCCTTCAGGCAAGTGTATTACCACAGATTCACAGTAAAAAAATAAGCAGCAGCTAAAATAAAATTGAAAACTTCATTTTTCATGGGAAAAATAGAAAAATAAACATACACAGCAAACAAGACAACAAACTGGCAATATTTATTCCTCCCATGTCATGTTAAAGTAGCAGTTCTAATTGTTAATCATAAATGTATGACTACCAACAAAAGTTGCTTCAACAGAGATAGAAACAACAACAACAAAATTTTATGAAATATCCACTAATATTCTATGCACTTTTACACAAGGTTTTTCTTCAGCTTTTGCATATTTAAAGTGTGTAATCTAGCCGAATCTCTGCAAGACTACAAACAAGGAGAAATTTGTTTCATTTGATTTCAGACTCTTAATCAAAGCTAAAACATCAAACTGAAGAAGTCTGGCGAACCAAACCTGTTCTCTCTCCAGCTGCACCTCGCACTGGTGCTTTGCACAGGGGGCAAGTATTTCTTTGTTCTAGCCACAACAATAAACATCTGTGGAAACAGACAACCCAAATTATTCAAGTGAAAATAAATGCATGCATTAACACCATCATCCTCCTGCTCTGCCAGTTATGCATTCAATAAGGCTTGCAGTCTTTTCCTCTATTCCTTCCTAATACATGAACTTATTGTATAATAAAAGATGTTTTATAGACAACTATGATAATAAGCATTTAACATTTAAAAATGGTAACATCAATGAAACTTGTAAGAAAGAGATGTAAATGTACAAGATCTGGGTTCCCAGCCACACTGATACATATATTGTAATCACTTTTATAAACTGACTCAGTAATTGTGTCAAATATATACATATGATTACGAGATGTGTAGAGGCACAGTTCTGCATGCCAATAGCAAGGCATGTGATGATGGTAATGGTATATATATTCAATCTGGCTTCAAATAACTATAGGTAAAACAAGAAAACCGGTGATCTTGCTCTGAATCCCTTCTGCTATTGCTTTAATACAAATACTTCAGTCTATGGCTATTGTAAACTTGAATTAATATGAATTACATAAATAACTGAAGGCCTATACACTAAAAATACAGTGGTTACTATATATTTTAATTAAAACTCTAAGGTAGAAGAAGTATTAATTTAAACAACAATATCCTGTTCAACTAATCTAGGTTATAACTGGGATGTATAGATAATTTTGTAAATTTCAGAAATGGATATTTATATTTACCAATTATGTTAGGTTATGCAGTATGCATAGCTCATATGGTCATTCTGTGGCGTCCCTGGCTTAGACATTGCGAGTCCGACTAGTAATTCCAATGTACCGCGATCGAAAACCACTGCTGGCTGCGTGGATTTTTATCATGGTATTAGGCATTGCTGGTCGACCGAGCCTAAAATGGGTACCAGGATGGCTGTCCTGGGGATGTAAAGACGGCCAGCGTAATGTTGACCACCTAGTGCTGATTGGTCTGTAAAAATATGGGTGCTCGTCCCATTTCCCTGATGCGCCTAATGAAGGCGGGAAAAGTGATCGTTACGTTATATAGTCATTGTATAATATTGTAGGAGTATAGATTCATATTCAATATATTTTAATTGCATTCTCATACATTTATAGTACTGTTATATTATTATTATATTGTGTAGTCTATCTTTGCGGATATTTAAAGTGAAATAAGCCTGAAATAAGTTGTCTATATCAGCAATTTTGACTCTTGTATAAATTTCACTGTTGTTGTTAGTTCATTCAGTGGTCCATAGAGTTTACGTTCCACTGTTGTTCTTTCTGGCCAAAAGGTTTGCCTTAATGTGTAAAATTTGGTGCAGTCCTGGAGTACATGCTCTGCTGTCTGGTGCACCTTTCCACAGGTGCACATGGCTGATACACCTATCTTGAATTTTGTGTACATGTAGTTATGTAATCTTTTGTGCCCTGTTCTGAGGAGGAGGATAATGACTTGTTCTGATCTGGCCATAATAAAATAGTCTTGTGCTGGGGCTGGTGGTTTCCTGATCAATTTAATGATTCTTTTCTTTTGGTGGTATCTGACTGGTACATCCGGCTGCACTTTTGTCCCACCTTCCCCTGCCAGTTGATCAGCTTTCTCATTTCCAGAAACTCCACTATTTTATGGTATCCATTGCATTACGACTCTTCACTGGAGGCTGAGTTAGTGTCAGCAGTGTTTGCAGTTCTGGTAGTTTCCTAGACTGGAGTGCTTCAAATACTGATTTTGCATCTGTCAGCATTACCACATACTGTGAGCCAAGATTGGTAATTAGCAGTTTCTCTGTTGCTATCTTGATAGCCTGAGTTTCTGCATCATAGTTGGTACGCTTGACTTATCCCTAGTACCATCTGGGAATTCTATGTACACTCCAGCACCACCATTTCTAACTGACTTCTGGATTTGTACTGTCATATGCTAATCCTGAGGGATGGACAGTATGTTATCTGTGTAAAAACTAGTATTTCTACTCAGATGAAGGACTGTGATGTTATCTATGAAACATATCAGTTTGTGATATATCCACTAAAGACATCATTAACGAGGTCTGCATGAAGAATAGCATTATTTACAAACCATTAGTACATGAACCTGAGTACCTACTTCTCTCCAATAAGTTATTTAGGACAAATAAATTCACTGGTATTGATCACCACTCACAGAAGTAGAAGAAAAGAATATTAGAGGACACAATAAACTATATAAAAACTGAAAACTACAGAGAACACATAGGGATCTTTTTCTTCTTCTTAGCATTCACTGGCTGTAAACTGCAGCAGAAATTTTACTGGACTGGGGTCTTGTTCCAGAACTTGAGTTTTGCATGCGCATCCATTTTACAGATCTGGCTTATGTGTATACAGAGTGTTGGTTCCTCGCCTCTCAAGCAAATTCACTCAAATCTCAAAGAAAACTCCCATAATTAGTCCCTTCTGAGACATGCTTGTTAAGAAGGCACTGAGTCTTTTCCCCATTTCTCCTCACTTCCTAAAATAGGACCCCACAAACACACACAGGAACACAAGGATTTGAACTTGCTTCCTCCAAATGCTTCCAAGAAGTAAAAAGTGGTGCAGGAGGGTTCATGCTCAAGAAGATGTCATGCTTAGAACAACTTAAATACAGCACGCCATACAAAGAAAACCAAAATATGAATGCTACCAAATTAAAATACTAAATATTGACAGTTTGAAGTTAACATCTGAAAGACTGGACGCTTTGAGCAGAACAGCAATTTGTGTGTAAACAGAAAATAAAATGGGCTTTAGAAGTCCTGACATACATATAAGCTAGTGATATATTTTCAAAACTGATTCAACGATTTAAGAATCGACATCATAGCCCACAGGGCATACATCTAGATGATCAATTTCCCACAGGAAATGTCTTAAGGTGTAGATGCTAACTGTTCCTGTAGAACACTGATTATAAACTTATCATTTTCTTCCTCTCCTATATCCCTCCTTGTTGTGTGAGACGAGTCGAGACGTGTGTTCCCAATTTAGAAGTGTCGAAGTTATGATTACCATCACCTAAGAATCTACAATCTGAAACAACATGAACCAACCATGAATATCAAAGTTACCAAGAAGAAAGAAACAGGTGACATTGAACTCTTTTAGGAGAAACATCCGAACAGCAATCTACGCAGAGGTCTGTGATGTAAAAGCTAAGATGAGTAGAACAATGACTGTATAGAGAAATCTTTTTAGGATTAAGTTGTTTTCGAACCCGAAGTCATAACCAATATAGTATGTGATTCATATTGTTAGAAATAAAGTAAATTTAGGTTTTTTAAATGTACAACTATCATTGAAGAAAGTATCGAATAAATGTTTTTTAAGAACAAGTTCAAAGGTTTAGAAAATTAATATCTTGTTGTCATCGTGCGTATTCCTTATATAAGTAAACCGCATTATTAGTGAAAGTTTCTTGGGGGCAGTATCTATGAAAGCAAGGTCACCCTAATTAGGTAAATAGCCCACGACTTAACTCAATGTTGAAGAAGAGATTAAAGTTGACCACCTAATTCCTTGCTTCGGGATAAGAAAACTCAGAAAATCAATTCTTTTCTTCTCGGGACATTTCATTAGATTAGTTTCACAATTCGAGCCATAGATTCTGACTAATTCTACCCTGTGCTTTATGACAAGGGGTGTAAAAATTACCTAATTTTTCATTCATAATTCTTACACACGTTCTTTCATCTAACCTCACGTTTTTAAACTACTCACCTCGAATGGAAGCCATGTTTACATCGACAAATTGCTAATTTTTCACCTGATCTGAACTCATCAAGGCACACAGGGCAAGTCTTTGAAACAAAAAGAATTTATGCAAATACATATCATAAGGAAAAGGTACAAACAATGCCATATACATCCTAAGGACATTGTCAGAAAGAGCTATAGAAGTAAAGACTGATTTGTACTTATGCTTCATAGACTATACAAAAGCATTTGACTGTGTGAAGCATGAAGAAGTAATCAAACTGTTAGAAAAATTAAACATTGATGGGAAAGATCTAAGAATAATAAAGAATATGTATTGGCAGCAAACAGCAGCTATAAGAATTAACAACTGTTTAGGTACATTTCAAAGCATAAAGAGGGGCGTACGACAAGGATGTGTACCTTCACCTGATTTGTTTTCAATATACAGTGAATATATTATGAGATCTTTAATTGATATGCCCGGAATCGTGGTTGGTGGGCACAATATAAACAATTTACGTTATGCTGATGACACAGTCTAGATAGCAACAAGTCAGAAAGAATTACAGGAAATGATAGACATTGTGGTGTTAGAAAGTGGAAGAATAGGCCTCAGTTTGAATAATGGGAAGACAGAAGTAATGGTGATATCAAAGAAACAAATTATTCCTAAATGTGTAATAAAAGTCAAGGGTGTTATTTTCAGACAAGTACAGAAATTTAAGTATCTGGGCACATGGATAACATCAGATGGAAGATGCATAACTGAAATAAGAAACAGAATTGGACAGGCAAAAACTGCATTTTATAAAATGAAAAACATCTTGTGCAATATATCCTTGTCATTGAGAGTTAGAAAAAGAATTCTTGCTTGCTACATACATCAAGTTTTAACATATGGATGTGTATCCTGGACTATCGGTATGCAGGCCAAACAATTTTTGGAGGCCTCAGTGATGTGATTTTACAGAAGAATGCTTAGAATACCTTGGACAGCCAAAAAGAGCAACCAAGGTTTTAAAAGAGGCGGGAGCCCGAAGACAACTTATCACTGACATCAGAAGGAGACAGTCATCATTTTTCGGCCATGTTATGAGAAGAGGGAAAATAGAACATGTTGTGACCACTGGAAAGATCTGTGGAAGGAGGGATAGAGGAAGACAACGAGAGAAGATGCTTGACGGTCTTGTTGCATGGCATGGAGGTGTGTCGGCACACGAACTGATACATGCTGCAGGAGATCGCGGATTATGGAGAGGCATGATCGCCCACGCCAGTCGGCAAGGCACCTGATGATGATGATGATGACATGTCAGCATCATCTCTATCATCAGGCTAGGCAGCTTGAATTCAGATGTTGAAGACATCTGATTGTGTCCCTCAGCTGTTCCTTTTTTTTAATTAGCTTTTTGATCTCGTCAATAAGTTAAACCCCTAATAAATTCTCAAACCTTTCTTTTGATGTATTTATTTCTTTGACATCGATGTCTTAATTTTCCTCAAAGTTGCTTTCCACTGTTCTCAACAGCAAACCTGTATGTTTTATATTATGACCCAAAAAAAAAAAGACAGGCTACTTGTAATCAGCCAATCTGGCGATGACTGGTTTATACAAATATGACTCTAGCATCATTTGTTTGAGGAAAATTCTAGACATTTTACCTTCTTTTTTTTTTTTAAATTAAATCCATGCAGATTGTTACATTTTTCCAAGTAGGAAATGCAAGACTGCATGCTCCCATACTGTATTAAATGCTGTCAACTACTTCAGATTTAATTATCATAGACATGTACATACATCTACACAGAAATGAATTAATCTGCTTCACTAGTGATCACTGTTATCAGTCTTCTTCTTTTTCGCGTTCACCAGCTGTACTCTGTGGTGGAAAATTTTGGTTGTTCGTCCACTTCTGAACTGCAGTCCTACTCCAGAACCTGAGTGTTGCGTGTTTTACAGACCTGATTTATTTGAATGCAGACTGCTGGCTCCTTGCCTCTCAGGCAGATGCACTCTGACTTCAAAGGAAGCTCCCCAATTAGTCGACTCTTGTGACATGCTTTTGGGTAGGCAGTGGGTCTATTCTTGTTTTCCCCACAATGGGGCCCCGGAACCCACACGGGAAAATGTTATCAGTAAAAGTGCATACAAGTAGTTTGTATATTTTTTTGTAATTATTTTTGAAATAATTTGTTTTATTGCTCCAGTAACACAATATGCTGTTCAGTTTACAGACAGCATCAGTGAATACGTTAATGTGGCAGCTGATAAATAATTGGATGGTGACAGCTGGGGGAGATCTCAATAATGACACACAGCTCGAATGTGTAGCTATGTTCGTGTAGTCAAGCATCTGCCACTGTAACAATCGTTTCACAGATAGTGTGTCTGTTAGCTAATTTATAAGATCAATACTGCTGCTGTCTCTGCTTAATCCTTCTTTTAATACAGTGTAATATTGTTATATTCAAAGGCTAAAACTAACACAGATCTGTTAAGAATAAATACATCTATTATAAAAATAATCAAAACATGTATAGAAACAATGAATTTGTAAAACCAAAGAGAGATAGAAGAAGCATTAATACAAATCATCATCATCATCAGTCCGTTGTGTCTTTATATGTCACACAGAGCTTGCAGTCTGTCCCTCCATTCCATTCTATACTAGGCAATCATTTAGATATCATGGATGGAATCTAGTCCAGTACCTTTGGCCATTCTTATCAATTTAATGTTGATTTTAAGGTTTTTCTTGAGTGTCTTCATTTTCTCACACTATTTGTTTTCCATTTCACTGCCTGTCTGGTGATTCTCTGCTAGCTCCTTCCTTAAGGATGATACAATACAATGCTATCTTCTTTGTATCATAACTGTTAATACCTGTTCTTGTTGAAATGTTTCTATTATTGCTTCAACACAGTTGGACATGTGCGCAGGCTTGATAAATTTGAGCAAGAGGAGTGGGTCAAGGTGACCGAACAAGTTTCAGACTTGTGTAGGGTTCTAATCACTTTAGGTCGTGAGTGCAGAGACTGGCCAGCTGGTGCTGCAGAATTAGAAGTTCAACAAATGATTCATGACAATTCCGCCCATGTGATGTGATTGTCTTTACAGATGGCTCTGTGTTGAGGGGCAGATGAAGTGCATGGGGGTTCATAGCAAAGGCGAATGGACATCAACTGGTGTAACAAAGCCTGGCATATGATATCACAACGTCTAATTTGAGAATGGAGGTGAAGGCAGTCTCTGCTGCCTTCGGCTGGCTTGAGAATCAGCTGTACAAACATGCCGTGATTGTAACTGACTTACAGAGCATGCTGAGAAAGGTGGAGATAAGCATACTGAGAAAGGTGGAGATAAGCATGCTTCGTGCAGGTGGCAAGCATCCCTTCAGAGGTCCCGGGTAGTTAGCATCCTTTGGATAATTTCTCAAGGTAATGCCGGTGTGTTGAGAAATGAGCAGGCAGACTGACTGGCCGGCTCTGCATCACTTGGTAGTGAAATGATGTATGACAGGTTAGAAATTGTGAGAGCCCTTTGAAAACCAGTGAACAGTGCAGATGCGCAATAACATCACAACGGTCTAAGGAGATGATCTGAGAAGAATGGTGCTGCGAGGAGTTACTAGGGTATCTGACCGATGCTCAACACTCAGGGAAAGGAAGAGATGGATAAAAAATCAGAAAGTTACTGGTGCCATCGAAATTAGAACTCTTTGCTTGCTGCTGAAGATGGGGTGGAGCACTTATGGGAGTGTTCCGAGTGCTGTTATGTTGATTCTTAATTCAACATTCTCATTGCTTCCCCTTTCTTGAATTCAACCCATTTAAAGGTTAGTTGCGTATCCTTTACAGGACGTTGCAGAACCAACCCCAACAACGGCTGTTATGCGGTTTTTTTCTAAGCAAATTTACGTCCAGTAGTTTGCCATTGTTTTCTGGACGGTCGACTTTCTTGATGCCTCTGTCAAACCAATGCAAGGCGCATGGCCCGCAGCTGGGATCGAACCTGGCATCCTGGCACTACGAAGCATTCGCATCGACTTAGCCACAGAGCTGACAAACAACCCATTTAAAGTTATTCACAAATACAGATGTTCAAAAAATTAACACTGACCCTGGGGAGTTTTCAGTAAAAGAGTTACAAAGTTTTGCAAAATACTTGGCAGAAGAAGAATTGACAAAACAGTAACCAGAGACAACATAAATATCTTTACAATTTTGTTAATTAAGTGAAATAATAGAAATAACCATTTTGTTTAGCTGATATTTGTTTTCGGCTTTTAAAAGCAAAATGTCCCATAACATAACAGTTGTAAGTACTTATAGAGATCAGTTTACTTAGTATTTTCAGAATCTTCATTTTGTATTTTTGTTCTCAATAAAGGATAGGCATGGAAGTTGGATAATGTCTTGAGCTTTTATAAACCAGCAAGAGATGGTCAGCAGTTTGTAAATTAAGTCACAAATTGGTAATAAAATTGTTTTATAACACCCATATGAAAGAACAATAACAATGGGTACTTACATCATTTTGCTGATGTCTGTTTAAGAAGGTAAATTTTTTCTGTCAGAAATACAAGTTTATATGTTGTCATTTTGAAGATAAAAATCCATACATAGAAATTAAAAGTTCTGCAACAATTTTGACTACTTATATGCCAACCAACTTAACCATACATTTACTGGCTACAGCTTATCATTTTAAATACACTCAGTTCACTTTAAATCATTAATCTGCAATATTTATCCAGGTAACAACATAATAATGTTGTCCTGTTCTTTTCTCTTCTTCTTCTGCTTTTTATTGCAGCGTAGGCCTTTAACCAAGCCTTTGTTTACGAATTGGCATTGAATGTTTTATTATATAAATGTGTTAGCCTGTCTCATGCCAACCCACTTTTGTTCTTTCATATGACAAGAATGATTAGTTACAGTAGTAGAACAGAGGCGGTTTTGCCCCAAAATGAACCTTATTTATCCTTATTTAGTCTCAGAAGTTTCTACTTTTTTTTTTCATTAGTTTATTTTTTTTTAAATGCTGAGCTGGAACAATTTTAAGTTATATATACTCTGCACAGAAAAAGTTAACATTACATGTAACAAAATGCTAACCAGTAACAGGCAATGAGGTACGGCTACTGAGATGCTAAGAGACCATGGGAGATGCAGCTGCACATTAGAGACAGGAAAGCCACAGGTGCCTTTTTTAGCAAGATACACAGTATGGAAACACCCAAAAAAAATCTAATGAGAAAACTTTTCTAAAAACATTTATTCAAATTATGCTATGAATTTTCTTCTTCTATTTCTTTTTCCCTTTAACTACTGTGGGTGTTGAGAGAACTAAAAGGTTTTGATTTAGGCTATGAATAATGTTCTTTTCCGTGCCATTTATCCCCCCCAAGTGAGCATAGGCCCTAAGCCAGCTAATGCCAAGTTGTCCTATCCTTAGTTACCACATACAGCCTAACGTGTCCTCTCCAGCTCTTCCGCATCTCTCCTCCATTTCCTTCTCTCATGTCTTTTTGGTCTGCCTTAATTTCTTTGACCTCCCTGTGTGAGTTCCAGGGACCTCATATGAGGCAGGGGAGAGAGGGGGGGGATAGACCCACTGCCTCCCTAACAAGCTTGTCACAGAAGGTGACTTATTTTGGGTGTTCCTTTAAAATCAGAGTGCATCTGTCTGAGAGGCAAAAAAAAAACAGTGTGCATACAAATAAGTCAGATCTGTAAAATGGATGTGCATGCAAAACTCAAGTTCAGAGACAAAAACTCAAAAGTGGAAAAACAACCCAGACTTTCTGCTGAAGTTTACATACAGCCCTCTCACCCTGTGGGCTTCAGTGCAAGAACATTCTAGTGAAACTTTATTAAGGTATTCTCTATGTGTGTCCTGTTAATATCTATAGGTTTCACCTCTTCACAGATAACAGAAGGCTGTTCCTCTTAGGCATAAGTCATAACGTGGGGTGGCCATCTTTAAGCTGTCACTATGACACCATTGTGTCTTGTGTCAGTCTGCACAGTATTGTCATTTGTCAACACTCTTGACATCCTTAACAACAATACTGACAGGTTATAAAACAATTACATGGTTATTGTACCATTTATCACGCTTTTGAGGTTTTCATTTGAAGCTCACTCACAGCTCTCTAAATCTATCTACTGTCCAGTATATAGCTCTCACAATATCTTTAATTCTCCATCATATTTAGCTTTCATGTCTCTCCATATCAAACAAATATTGTTGCAGAATGTTGAATGTTGAATTAGGAATCGACATCACAGCACTCGGGACACCCCCATAAGCGCTCTCTTCCCATCTTCAGCAGCAAGCGAAGAGTTAAAATTCTGATAGTACCAGTAACTGTCTGATTGTATATCCATCTCGTCTTTCCCCTGAGTGTCGAGCATCAGCCAGATCCCCTTGTAACTCCTCGCAGTGCCATACTCCTCAGACCGTAATGATCTATCTGTGCCTTGGTACTGTTCACTCACTCCCAAAAAGCCCTCACAACATATAGCTTGTCATACATCAGTTCACCACCTAGTGGTGCAGAACTGGCCAGTCTATCTGCCTGCTCATTTACCAACACATCGAAAATGATACCTAGGTACCTCAGTTTGTGTTCTCTTTTAATGTTACTGTTATTAACTGTAAGGTTTGAAACATTAGCTTTTACAATTCTTTTTCCGGAGCGTACCACAAAACAGCTGCTTTTTTTTTTTTTTTTTTGAGTTGATGACAGCACCCAATTCTGCACACCAGTCAGTCACTATGTCTTCAGCTGCTTGTAGCTCCTGGGCTATCCATCACTTATCTCTTCCCTGCCTATATGCAAGAACATCATCGCCAAATGTCAACATTCTTCTAACACCTGGTGATTCAAGTTCTGCAATCTTGCTTGTATACACTTTAAAGAGCACTGGTGAAATTGCAGAACCCTGTGGTAGTCCCGGGGCGAAATTACATGTTTCTGAGGTCCATGTACCCAGGCAAAGGGCAACCATACGTGAATGCATGAAAGCTGCTATCCAGTTCACAAAACATGGACAAACCCTCTTCTCCATGAGTGCAGAAATCAAAATATTATATTTGTTTCTTTGTAGGCATCCTCAAGATTAAGTGCTGCCACAACTGTCTCCTGTCTGCTCTGGAACCCCTCATAAACATCAAAAGCAAAAGTAGCTGCATTTGGCCAGGTATCTTTCCGTGACCAGTAACTACACAAAACTCTGGGCAGAAGCTCTTCCTTTTACAAAAACATTTGTAGTTTAACAGCAATAATCTTCTCTAGCACCCTGTCAAAAGTATTTTGTAGGGTAATAATCCTGATAATATTGTAGAAAAACTTGGATTGTTTCGCCAAAGCATGAATTTAAACTGCAAAAGGGAAAATTTGACTTGACAATCCTGTATAGCTCTCACAGCATCTCCACTGTCTAGTATGTATAGCTCTCATCTCTCCACTGTCCAGTATATAGAGCTCTCATCTCTCCACTGTCCAGTATATAGAGCTGTCAGTATATAGAGCTCTCATCTCTCCACTGTCCAGTATATATAGCTCTCATCTCTCCACTGTCCAGTATATAGAGCTCTCATCTCTCCACTGTCCAGTATATATAGCTCTCATCTTTCCACTGTCCAGTATATATTTACAGCTGTCACCAACTTACAGTTCTCAGTCCTTGCTAAAATATTTGCTTGTGTACTACTCTGAAAGTATTGTCAAGTGGGCATTAACTCATTCAGTTGTTAATTCTACTCACTATCTTAAAATTATTATACAATTTTTTTCCACTGTTTTATTTACAGTTTTACAGTTCTCAGCCCTTGCTATAGAAAAAGTATTGTCTACAGCTTTGGTACAATCCTAAAGATTATTACACTAACAAAAACACTAACAAAAAAGACAGAATGTGCACGCATAGTGGAAGAACACTCAGAAAGAGTAGAGAAATGGGTAATATTCAGAACATATTGTGAGTTTCCTGGCAGTGAAAGGGTTAATGTGTTACTCCTTTACTTTGATTTCAGCTGAGGTAACAGACAATATATCCCCTCCTAATACTGTCCTTACTGCCTTCATTTACCAATTGTAGGCGGCGGGGGATGGGGAGGTTTGAGCCTGAGGATTTAATGTCATGTAATGGCTATTATGCTTTTATTGTGATTGCATTATTGTATTCTTACTTTTATTTTTTTTCAGACTAAGTCTCTTATCTTGCAGGTTTCAATATTGGATGTTATACATTCATCATAACACTATTTCTCCTGTACAGTTCTGTCCTCCGCAGTAACCTTCTCTACCTCTGTTCAGCCAATGTAAGTTCTGAATTTAAAATGAAGGAAATTACTTACCACAATAACTATCAGTAAACATCCACAAGACCCCATCAGCAGACTTGAAAAAAAGCAAAATACTAAAAATTCCATCTACGAACAGGACACTGTAGGCTCAACTACCACATGCATAAAATAAAGATTGTACAGTCCCCACAGTGCGCCTGTCAAACAGGACCACAAACACCCGAGCATATTCTGCTGACCTGTTTACCCTACCTACAACTTCAAAAAGAAACCTGGCCTCAAGAGCAAAGTGTGCAGAGCAACCTATGGGGAACCATGAAGGACCTGCAGCTGACATGCAAGTTCATAGAGACAACTCACCTGATGGTCTGATCTGAGCATATGAAACTGAACAAAAAGAAGAAGACTTACCACAACATATCCTTGCTCATCTTGCAAAGCATTTCTTTTTAACCTACAATAGAAAATGGCACACTGTAAACTATATTTTTGATCATTTTTATTTTTCATTTTGTTACAATATATACCTGCTTTCAAGAGTCATATTTAGGATGTATGCCGCCCATGTGCAGTCATTTTTATTGCTTTCCCTCTTACCTCAGCTATACCCTAGCATCCGTTATGCCCTATTATTCTATTGTCAGAATGCTTATCTAATGTGGGTTTTATAATGATATAAACATATTACTAGTTATATTTTGCCGCCCTCAAAATGTTGATGCTTCAAAATTTTCAACCCTGTGCAGGTGCACATGTTGCCCAAATCTGGTCCTGTTGTCATCAGTGCAAAATATGAAATGCAAAGTAATTGTCTTTAATATTAATAAAATTAGAAATAAAAACTCTCTTTAATAAACCCAGTTTACACATGTTGCATTCAGTTCATAGTTAAAACAAAAACACCCCTCTATCAGATGTATGCCCTAAGCACTCTTCTTTATGGTGGTAAAACTTATTTACTGAGAAACTGTTAAATGTTAGGGTAAAATGAACAGTGCTGTGAATAATTTTAACAGCATGCATGTAATATAATCTTAGACACATATACAATAAAACAAACACAGGCAGTGTAACATTTCAATGAATCATAATACTTTCCTATCCTCTCAACTCTTTCAGGGTGGTATTTTTTGTGGGGCTTGGCAGCCTTAATTCTGAGCTGAATTTTTGTTTACTGCAGTAAATATATGACAAATCTAGAACATTCCTGAAAAAAAGTCCTGACTATTTAGTGACAGATAATACATCAAATTAAATAGAAATGAACACAGAATGCCTCTAAGCTTTTTAAGGATCAGTACTGCAACAATCAAATATCAAAATGACACCATATTCAAGGATGTTAGACATGCATAAAGATTTTTTACATGTAAAGTTTTGTACTTACATTACTTGTTTACCTTGATCAGCAACATTAATATCCATTTCTAAGAATTCACATGCCTTCTCTATTTAATTTTGCATCAGCTAGTTTTTTTTTTTTAAGACAAATAGTCTAAATACTTTGCATTTTATGACCACTTTTGTGTGACATTTTTGTTGTTTCACAACAACCAAATTCTGGACATAGCAGATTAAAAAAGGCGATGATCCAATCAAAATATTTTGTTCAACTTCATTCCAACCCATATTATCAGCAACTGGTGTTGCACTTGCAATATTAATTATAATGTCAAGACTGTTATCACTATCTGGTTCAGATTCATCTATGACAGTAGGAGAATTAACATTTCTAAACCTATTTCCTTATCATCTGGTCACAAAAATTATATCACACTGATTTAATTAAAAACAAATCAAAAGTTAAACCTATCGCCTCATCACATTTGGATAATGAGAATACTTCCATTCACTAAGTCTAGTTTTTCAAAACATGTTCATACAAATTCATTTTCCTAGCAAATGACACAATATTACAGTGTCCATGCCTGGAGCCATCTAAGTGGCGATATGTCCGAATATGATAGATTCAGATCCACTTAAGTGGCGATATGTCTGCAAAGAGTTAAGCACACCATACTTCACAGTTAAAAAAAGAAACAGAAGAGTGAATAGACAATCATGATATGGAGTGAATGGCTTAGTTGGTATAGATCTGGCCAACACTCAACTATCAGAGAAAGGACAAGATGGACAGATATTTAAACTGCTACTTGCAGCATTTGTAATTGAACTCTGTCCTGGGCTGTTATGTTGGTTGGTTACACAAGAGACCTCAAGCACAGACAGATTATATTCCATATTCCCAAAAGATGTTTGCTTAATGTTCTGCATTCAGTCTGATACATATGTGCCAAAGATAATATCAAATATTTCTTTGCTTCTTTATCTAGGATGATTACTCACTTCCATAAATAGCAGCAAAAGCAGAAACTAAGCAGCAGAGTAAAGGCTCCAACTCCCAGCAGAGGTAAAGACACACTGAAGGGGACATCTTCAACTTCCATCTGATTTATGCTTTGTGTAGAGGCATTATCATGATAATTATGCCTGACAACAATAACAAAAATTTGATATTTTCTGCATAGATAATTGAAGACTAAGATTAAAATGCAATGTAATACTATCAATCAGCATTGTCATCAGGTAAAATACACATTCTATTGATAAAATTACAAAGACAGATTTTAGATATTTTGGTGGTGAAAGCACAATGCACTAATACACATTCTAGTTGTGAAAGCGCAGTATATAGAGACATATATTCTAGTGGTAAAAACACAAAGGCAGATATTCCAGTGGAGAAAGCATGTAATGTTTCCATTTTGTACACTTCCTCTTCAAGATTCCCTCTAGCATACTTTAACCAGGAGCATTTCAAGCCTTTGAAGTTCACTGATACAGATATCACCCGCACCATTCATCTCTCTATTTAGTCATCTCTTTTAGGTTGGTGACTTTGTGTGTTTGCAGGCCTATCTGGGTATTGTCTGTCCAGTCTTCTTGGTCTACCTTGTAGTCTATGGCCATTCAACTCCTTTGTGTACAGTCTGTGCCTCTCCGTCGTTGTTGTGCCTACTTGTCATTCTCTCTATATATCCCAGCCATTTCAGTTTATTAGCACTCATTATGCCCGTTACCAATGGTGATTTAAACAGATAATGAATCTCATTTCTACCTCTTTCTCTCTCCCCAGCTGTTTGTTTATATATTCTACAGTTAAAATATTACAGAATATATAAACTACTACTTACTCTGCATTACCCCTTAAAAGGTTGGTTGGCAAGTTGACTGTGGTATAGAGCTAGACTACAATATCTACATCTATTGACCCAGTGTAATTTCAGTAAAGCCTTTAAACAGTTGCCTTTCATTGCGTGTTTGTTCGAAGGTGGGTAGAGCAATGGGTCTATTCTTTTTTACATTCAAAATGGAGCCCCAGAACCCACACAGGGATGATTATATAATTTCAGGAAAAGCGAGAGAAGACAAAAATAAATACAAAACTTTAACTTACATGTGTTTGCTTCTCTCCACTTTAAATAATGAGTATATAGATAGATTTTCATGGATTGGGTATGATTCTCAACAACAACTGTCCAGCATAACATAAATTATTTTGAATGCAAGGTTCAGATCCCCACTGTGGATTCTTAAAAAAAAATGATGTCTGAAATTATGAAGAAAAAAAAGACTTGTTAAATGGATGTGAGATTTTTTCCTAAAAACAATGCAAGATTTTTTTTTTTTTTTTTTAGTTACATAAACATGGAAATGTAATGGTCAGTTTTGTTGAAAATATGAGGAGAAGTCAATAAGTAAGTCACAAATGGTTATGGTTATGGAATGGCAGGAAAATGTAGTTGGTGGATTCTAAAGGTGTCATTAGGTGACAGCAACATTTAACTTTATGTCTCTGTTCTTTAGGTGGCTCTGGGTGTTGCATGTACATTCTCAACACATAAACAATATTGCGACTGTACTTTTGGAGTGTACCCTAAAAGAACAACATGCTGTTGTGTGGGGTATTTTTCTGGGGGGGGCGGGGGAAGACAAAAGGGCTGAGTGCAAAAAACATTCATAAGGAAAAGCGGTGCATAGCTGGGTAAACAAAAATTCCCATGGTGCTCTACGATTGTTGATGAAGTCCAATCTGGTCATCCCGTTGACATTGCAACAAACGCATCAGTGCAGCAGGTGGAGGAGATGATTAGAGGTGACAGTAACAGTTGATTCTGTAGCAGCTGCAGTAGAAAGCTTATCTGGTTCAGCAAACAACATAATGTATGAGTGACTGATATTTTAAAAAGAGTGCTCAAGGTGGGTACTCAGACAACTGATAGAAAAACAAAAAATGACAATGCCAGACCACATACAGCTTGCTTAACTCATGAGAAAATTAACCATCTATGGTGAAAACTTCTGGAACATCCACCTCACAGTTCCGACTTAGCCCCTAGTGATTTCCGCCATTTTGGTCCACTGAAAACCCACCTTGGCGGGAGACATTTCGCGAATGACGCAGAAGTTGAATGTGAAGTGAAAATGTGGTTTAGACAACACAGCATGCAGTTCTATGCTGCAGGTTTGGGAGGACTTATTAAATGATGTGATAAGGGCATCAGTGTTAGTGGAAATTATGTTGAAAAATAAAGGGGCAGCGTATGTGTAAAAATAAACAGTTTTCAAGTTGTGACTTACTTATCACCTTCCCCCCGTAAAATGCAAGAAAAATATGTTGAAAAAACTAAAATTATTAGATGCAGCGAGCACAGACATTTACTAGTCTGATATTATTTACAACACTTGCTAGTCTGATATAATCTACCACACTTGCTAGTCTGATATCATCTACCACACTTGCTAGTCTGATATAATCTACCACACTTGCTAGTCTGATATCATCTACCACACTTGCTAGTCTGATATCATCTATCACACTTGCTAGTCTGATATAATCTACCACACTTGCTAGTCTGATATAATCTACCACACTTGCTAGTCTGATATCATCTACCACACTTGCTAGTCTTATATCATCCATAACACTTGATAGTCTGATATCATCTACCACCCTTAATAGTATGATATCATCTACCAGGCTTGCTAGTCTGATATCCTCTACAACACTTGCTAGTCTTATATCCTCTACCACACTTGCTAGTCTTATTTCATACACTACACTTGCCAGTATGATGATATCACTTACAACACTTGCTAGTGTGATATCATCTTCCAGGCTTGTTAGTCTGATATCATCTACAACACTTGCTAGTCTTAAATCCATAACACTTGATAGTCTGATATCATCTACCAGACTTGCCAGTCAAATTCCATCTACAACACTTGCAAGGCTGATATCACATTTGCTATCTGATATCTAATGCCTTTGTTGGTCTCATATCATCTTCAACACTTGTAAGTCTAAGATCATCTATACATAGACCAAACAGAAATAGCCACCTCATTTTTCAAACATAAAACTGAGTCTATGGTAAAGATGTAGGCAATCCAATAGCAGGCACTACTGTGATGAGGAATATGCTGTCTACAAATTCAGTCTTATCTACTATTGACTGTTGGGCTACCAGTCTGCACTATACCAGACTTTAATCCTTTCGCTGCTACATACTCTGCCAGTGAACGTTACCACTGTGCTAAGCTAGTTCCCTGTTGAACTTTCCCCCTGTGCTGAATACTTTTCTATCCTCCAAACGCAAAAGATAGGACAGCGGTGAGGGCTTTATTTTGTACACCTGAAAATATTTACCCTATGTAAGTGGGTGATAGCCCGAGTGCTGACATAGCAGATGCACTATGGTGACGCCAAGAAAGACATTTACGGAAAGGAAACACTAGAAACAAGATTTAGTTGCTTGACTTCACTCAGGATAGTGAAAGAAAATGTATCCTCGGCTAAGTCTATTTTTGTCTCCACTGCTACCACACATGTAGTATAAACTCCATGGCAGAGGGAACACAATAATAGCCTTCCGAACGTCAGTAGGAACATTCTTTGAATGTTTCAATCACTTTACATTCGTTGCAGGTGGATATTGCAAGTCAATTGTTATTCTTCCTACTTCTACTTTGTCGTCGTCTCAACGGTTGCCATGTGTTTACTCATTGCCAAGAGTGCATCTGAGGCTCTTACCATCCTTTGCCCCCTTTTACCACCCCACAAACTTGACCCGGGGAGATGGGTTAAGGAAGAACTGGTCTATGAGAATCCTAGTACTTCACCCCAGGCTGTGACCCGTGAATTACAATTCACACAAATGGCAATCCCTCTTCCCTGATAATCTACAGCTTTAGTCATAATTAGTTGAATTCTCCGTGTTATTACCTTTTTTTAAATAAATAATTAATAATTGTGGAAACTGCTAAAAGCTGAAATTTAAATTTTAAAAAACCAAATTCATGCAGGGATTTGAACGCAGGACCTTTCCATTGTAAGGCAGACATCATACCAACTACAGTAGAAATTCATATGAAAATAAGAACTAAAAATAGTACCAGTATTGTACACATTGACAGACAGACACATTCATGTCTGTTGTACAGTATACAGAAAACATTAATTTTAATCATTTCAGTGACCATATCTCCTTCATGATCATTTGGGATCCATTTCAATCTAGTCGATGTAGATGGCTGGGTCAGATGGTCAGTCTTGCTGACGAACAAAAGTGAATATGTCCGCGGCGTAGCGTGAAAAATATCAAACTCATAACTCACACATTTTAAAGTGATCCTTACTATTACTCTTTGAAAGAAACTATTATTTCTTCATCAACTTTAATTTTCTTGCTAACGCAAAAGCAGAAATATATTTCAGGTAAACAAAATACACTGTTCACTGACCGCGCTTCTATTGTAACAAAGCAATAGGATAACATGGAATGCATATAAATACACCTAAACGTATGTAATAAGGGTTTTAATTGTATGTAAATGGATCAATTTGATCAGATTTATGTAATGTGTATTGCCATTTCACCCCCGAGAATTACGGTTCTTAGCAATCTGTAAGAAAAGTCGAAGACATATTAATTAATCCGTAGCAGTAATGGCACAGAAAACGGAAGACGTATTAATAAGTCTTTAGCAGTCTACTGGGCAGATGTATATATACATCTATATCAGCGAAAGGGTTGAGAAATAGATTAATGACCACTTCCTAGTGGGAATAAAAGATCACCAATATTGTTTTCTTCAGTTGTCATAAACAAGCAGCAACAAACAATTTTTTTGTTATGGTGTGAAAAGCAAGATTTTACAAATAATAGGTACTAGAAAGTGGAGATATATAGGGATGATGTGGGGTGAGTTGCATACAATAGCAAAGGATAAAATGACATAGTGTCAGCTGGTTAAGGGCCTATGTTCCATTGGGGGATGAAAAGCCAAAGAAGAAGTGTGCGACTTCATGAGTTAAGCATGACAAACTTCCTTCCCTGCTGCCTCCTTTCTCTTTCCAACAAATAACAAAGCCAGGAGGGAATTC